CGAAGATGTCCCAGCTGACCAAGTTGATGACAGTGATCCTCATCCTCCACAGACGGAGACACCTGATGATTCTGCCTCTACCTCTGATGATGACGATTCCACCACCCAAGACAATGGGGATGATGTCTTCCAAGCCGAGAAAATCCTGAAATCTCGTCTTCGTAATGGTACCACCCAGTACCTGGTGAAATGGGCTGGTTACCCTCTTAATGACTCTTCCTGGGAACCCGAGGAGAACATTCTTGACAAGAGGTTAATAACAAACTTCTTGTCCTCTTAAATTTTGTTTTCCAGTGTTCCTGAGAGATGTCTCCGTTCGGTCATCTCTCACCTCAACCATAGGGGCATTTTGACTTCCAAATCCCAAATTTGAAATCGCTCTGGTCTTCCACTGTTGCGTAGATAGGTTTCGGTGCGGTCGTCTTGGACCTCAACCATCGTTGGGTCAGAGACTCGAATGCCTAAGGTTGGCGTCGCCTTCTTCTTCACGCCGTAATACCCTAGATCCATGCCTTGGCGACCATGAACGGAAGTCAACCGCTTCAATGACCTTGATGTGGTTGGTATGGCTGTGTCTTTCCATCGCCATTTGGAATTCCTTCAGCACCCATAGCTGCTTGGGGTGAAAGAAGTTCAAATAGAATTGTCAAATACGGTAAAAATGCATTATTATGTAAAATAGGCATCCACACACTAACATACAAAAAATCGGAAGAAAAAAGAGATTTAATAATAAGTATATAACTGAAATATTCGACAATGTCAAAGTCCAAAAAAAAAATTTTTTTTTTATAACACAAAGTGCCTTTCTGTATTGTGCACCATCATAAAAGTTGTTACAAACAAAACAAAATGATTATGGAATAATAAAGTTAAAAACAAATTAAATGATTCAAATAAAGTATTAACGTTCACACATATAGTGTGGCCTCTCTGCATTTCTTTCTTTTTGCGTTTTTCAAAACCATTTCTAATTCCTATATTTTTTATTAATGGTTCATCATTTGCGCAGTTCCACAGGTTGCTGTTTATTGTTAACATTTTCCAAAAAATTTTTTTTTTTTATTAAGTGATCTCTGCTGGCTCTCCGCTCGGATCCTAGATAGAACTTTTTTTACAACCACACTCCCTGAAGTTAGGATTGGGCCCCTCCTCAACTCAGGGATATTTCTTTCATTGTTATGGGAATTTTCATTCTTAATAACTCATATGTTTTTCTTTGTTTTCTTTTTTTTCTGAGGACAGGGTGGTTCCTCTTTAACGGTATAAAAAAAAAAAAATTTAATAATAATAATAATGATGTCATTACAATTACTATTTTACTTAAGTTCATGTTCTTCTCCTAGTGATCACAGCTGGTCACCCGCTTTGGATCCGAGGTGAACTCGTTTTTATTAGTGATCTCTGATGGTTACCCGCTCAGATCCTAAGCAAAAAAATTTTTTTTTTTTGGTCTCCTAGATATCTCTGCTGGGAATATCCGCTAAGATCCTAGGTAGATTTCTCTTTTTTGCGATACATTCCTGAAGTAGGCTTGGTGAATCCGCCTTACCTCAGGGATATTCTTTTCTTCATAGATGGACCCTCCTCAACGTAACAGGAGACGTCGTCCTCCTTCTCAACGAAACAGACAACGTAGTCGCCGCCGTGCTGCCGAACGTCAGCGCCGCTTATGCAAAATTTGCCTTGAACATCGTCCAAATGTTCCCACAGTACAGATGCCATGTTGTGCCCGTCCTGATGGGAGTTCTTTTATTCACGAAGACTGCTTGAATGAAGGTTTCAGACATGCTCTCCTCGCCGCCAATCGCTACCGATGTCCCTTTTGCCAACAGTCCCTGGCACCTTACAATGTGGACGAACCGTATCGCCCACCCATTCCTTTTGGGTTCCGATATTTTGTCTTTACCGAGGAACACTCTTCTTGGACCGCGGATGACCAAGACTTCTATGACTTTCCCATAGATGGCCTTGTGGAAATTCCTGAGCCAATTTTCCTTGCTGTTCCTCCTCCTGGTTGGCGACATCGCTAACATTTTTTTCTTTCGGTTCATCAATTATTAGTTTCTTTTTGTTTTTTTATATTAATGGTAATTTTATTAATCAAAAAAAAAAAAAAAAATCCTATTGTTAACGGGAAATAAGATACGGCAATTACAGGATCATTGTCCGTGTTTCCTATTATTATACCTATGATGTTCTTGCTTTGTTGTTTTCAAATTCGGTACCTCGCATTCTTCGGTTACCTTTATACACCTTATATATCTTAAATCTATAGTTTTGTTTTATTCGGCTTTTTAGAGGCTTATCTCACAAGCCATTTCTTTTTTTTTGACAGTATACCATGGCGCGTTTGTCCTTGGCCACCATCTTCCTGATGGTTCTTATTACGCTTTCTTGGTCCAATAATTTCGACAATACAGGCAATGTAGTTACATATTATCCTTCCTCTCTAATGCTCTCTACCAATCCGAAGCCATTGTTCTTCTTTTCGGATACTCAGCTCCTACATTTAAACTTAGTTTTAGACGTTGATCTTCCAGGCTCTTCGCCTACTATGCAATATCAATGTTCAACGGAACAACACAATTTCATGCTGAAATTACTTCGATCGTTGGCCGATACAACTGTTAATATTCGACGGTTACTTTCCCTCCCGGGATTTACTAACCTAATCGAATGTGCTTCTTATTTGAAACGAGCATATAAGTTTTATTCACGGCTTCCCGCCAAAATGCGGTGTCCTCGTTTTTTCCGCACCAGTCTGTCTGAGTGTAAGAAGTACGCTCTTCTTACATGCGTTCATATCACTGTAAATGAAAAACTTTGGCTTGAAAGATCCTCTAGATCTAGGCGTAGTGCATGGAGTTGCCATGCGGGACTACTCGGCTTGATTAGAGCCATTTACAAAGCTACAGGTGGTTCTTGTCGGTCCAATCATATTGCCGGTTTAAAAACTGTCCTTAGAGATATGGCTTCCGCCATCAACGCTGATGCTGCTTTAATTCGGACCGTTTTCGGTAAGACTGTCCACATGATGCGAATGACTGACCAACTTACAACTAAAGTTAACTCTTTAACACAAAACATAAAAGACATTGACTATACTTTAGCCGAATGGAGCGTTCAAATCTCTAAATTTATGCGAAATACAAATTGTTATCAAAATGCAAATATGGATTTCCTTTCAAAATTTTCCTTTCAAATTAACAGAATAACTCAGTTACTTCTTCGTCTAATTGAAGTTCAGGATATAGTCACTCAGTTTGCACATTTGAGGAACCGTGCACTTATTGGTTTTAATGATTTGCCACAATCAGTTATTTCTGCTGTTTCACATCACTTTAAAAAGTTGCCCGGTATGTCTTTAACTGTACAAGTTTTAGACGAGGGTTTTCCTTTGTTAATTAATCCTATTACGGAATATTCTCATTCTCCAAGGCAAATGGTTTTGACTACCTTAGTCACTGTTCCTCGAATTGTTAGTGAAGATTCGCTGTGTACTGTTGAGACACTTGTACCATTGAAATATCAAATTAAGGATAAGTGTTTTACTGGTCCATTAGCTAGACAAGATTTAGTTCTAATTTCCTGTAAGCGTAAGCAATTTGTGTTAAAGGCTGATGTGTTAAGTGCATG